GCAGCAGGAAGCCTAGACGAGTACAAAAGCAGCTACAACATCAAATACAACATTTTAAAGCAAAAGACAATTATGCCAAAATGTTTAGTTTGTTAGTAAGCCGTAGTCCAGGGGCAAAATGGTGATGGGAACAGGAAGGCATTTTTCCGAATAGAGGGAAAAAAATGGGGCTCAGAGTGGACAATCTCTGCGAGCAGAAAGCAGAATACTCTCCGTCTCATCATTGTCACCCCAGCCTGCAAGGACCTGGTTCGAGACCGAGTCGGTTGGAAAGTGTTCGAGGGCAATTACAGCCTCGTTCACATTCTTACTCCGCATCGTGACATGACTCGTCGAGGGCAGGCTCAAGCGTGTCGGTGGTGCCACAATCGGCAGCCTCGTTTCTGGAAAGGACGGAGAAGAGCCAAACAAGTGAAGTTTCCCCTTGACGAGACGTTTGAGACTGCCCTCAGCGGATGGTCTAAGGCAGGAAGAAGTCTTGCAGCTAGAAGGTCTGTCATGAGGTAAAACTCTAAGGGCCAACATGCAAAGCACACTGTCACCTACACACCAACGTTGATACTAAAGCATAAGCTGGAGATATTTGCCACATTTTCACGCACCCAGATTGTACCAGACGTCCATCTCGCCGGAGAGCGTGCGGACCTCAATCACCGTCTGACCAAGAAAGTCATCCGACTCCGAAGTCAGTTTTGACCGCAATTTAGCACGAAGATCGTTATCCTCATCCCTAAAGACATTCACACATCGTTTCAGGCATGTCAATATGGCGTGTTGACCCCCCAGGCACGAGCCAAAAGGAACATGTATTTGGGATCACATGATTAGAGGGTCGTTGAGGCGAACATGCGAATATTTGTGGAATGTAATTTAATGAGTAACAGCCCGAATAAAGACGTGCAAAGGCATTATTAGATTTTTTAAAAGAAGGAAAATTAACCAAGTGGACAGAAATGAATGCGAGAATGGAATGGCCCGGGTATAAATAAATAAATATGTATATGTATGAATATATAGATGCACAAAGTAGTGAGGATAATTAGGTTCAAACAAGCGGCAAAACATTCGACACGGTTGCAAGTGTAGGTGGCAAAAGTATGTTGGATAAATGAGAGAATGGAGGGTGGGGGAATAACCCGAAATAAATGTGTGACTGGGCCTCAAGCAAAAAGTTGAGAACGTATTGATGGTATAGGTAACGAAGAAGAATACGTTAAAAGTACTGATAGGTAGCAGATAGATAAAATGATAATGATGGATGGCCAGGTAAATGGAAAGGGGGAAGATTTTAAATGTGTATAGATATGTATCAGTGTATATATGCATATGGATGAGCAAGTGGATTGATGCATAAGCAGATGGAATGATTGCAAAGGATTCTCAAAGATCGCGCGTAGAACAGAGGGGCAGGGTGATAAATAGATCAGCAAAGATGGGATTCCGAGGGGAGCAACAGGCATAGCCAGACCAGGGAGCATGCAAATGATGAGAAGCGTTGCTTCAATTCAGAGGGGATGCGCAAAGCGGACGAAACAGACGGAGCAGACATTTGTTTACTCAGAGGACGGTGAGCAAATTAAAATGATAGACGATCACGGATAGTTGTAAATAGACAGAGTAAATAAATAAAGAGTTGGATATTTTACAATAAGAAATGCATTTAAAAGGAATGTAGGAATTCGGAACTAAGCAAAGAAGGCAATCGAGTTGAAGCCCAAAATAAGTAATCGGAGCCCATAAACGATCCCAATGAACGGGCGGAGGGTAGGTTGGATGAAATTCAGGAGCAAAATGATAAGTGACGGCGTACAGAAAGTCGGGGGTGAAAAATGAAGGAAATAAACAGTTTGATTAGATGATTCAACAGTCTGGCGATCTGAAATACAAAAAACGGTGAATGAAAAAAGTCAGATGAAAGGGTACCAGATTGATCTGGTCGCCGGCCAGCCCGAGGCTCTGTCTGAGGAATCCAATATTCAAATCGCTTTGCCACTTCCAAGACTGCTTTATTGGAAGGAAAGTGATTGCTCATGAGCAGTTGTCCCGTTTATGCACTAGCGATCTCGGTTATTCAACTACTGAGACACCGGACAGATATACAAAAGACTAGACAAACACAACGCCGGTATAATAACAT